GGGACGCGGCGTGCTGCCCGCTCGGAGCGGGCTCGTGCCCGGAGCCCTGGGCATGGCCGGCCCCCGACCTCCACGGCCTCCTGCCGCCAATCGTGTGACCTCAGTGGCGGCCGTTTGTTGTGTGCACGTGGTACTTCGGGGGTCGCCCGACTGAAGCTCCCTTGGGTGTTTCAAACCCGGAGTTCCGTCCCCAGGCTTGCGGATGCATACGCAGCCAAAAGGACAATGTTTTGAAATTTCGCTAACCTGTGTTCCGTGTCTTTCTGGCGGACACGTTTGTACCGCTGTACCCTTTGCTCAGGTGAGGGGGTTGGGGAATTTAAGACCACGTGGTGAGTTGTCAGGCTCGGGCTGTTCAAACGCTTGAGTAAGCAAACCTGAAAGGGGGGATTCTTGCTGGGCGCTGACGACCCACACCTGTAATCCTAGCTAATCTGGAGGCTGAGAGCTCAGGATTCTGATGCGGACTCACACCTGTAATCCTAGCTAATCAGGAGGCTGAGAGCTCAGGATTCTGATGCGAAGCCTGGCAGGAATGTCTGTGACACTCTCCCAGTCAACCAGCAAAAGGTCCGAAATGGCTCAAATGGTAGACCACCAGCCTTGAGCAACAAAGCTAAGGGATCGCAGCCACTACCAACACACAATAAGATAATCAAGCCTTTAGGTGGCTCCTTTCCTCGCCAAACGGTGAAATATTAAAATTTCCACAAATTTGAGTGCAAATGTTGTTCTGAAGCAAAAGATGTTATGGGGTATTACTGGAACATGCTGAAAAGTGCTTTATTCAACTCTGGCATATAAATGAAAGGGGAAAGCAGTGGTTGGAATCCAACATACATCGTACACATACACACACATATATATCTGAATCTGAACATGTATATATGTATGTATACCCTGCCAAATATTAACACAATTACCTAACAGATGTTTCTTCAGGAAAAAGGTTTTTTTAAACTTAGTCTGAATTAGCACTTCTCTGATGTGATTGTTTAACTTATAGACAAAGACTTACAGGCAGGTGCAAAAAATCCTCTCATTGTTCAATATGAGTTTTGATATATGTAAGAAGGAATATGATCATTTCTAAAATAGTTTGAAGTGGTGGGGGTATTGATATACATTTAAGTTGGCTCTGAGAATAAAGTTGATCATTTAAAAGCATGAAAAAATATTCTGAAAGCTTATTCAGGGTTATTTCTTAGCTCTATGTGAATATCAATTGTATGATTTTGGGGAATTTGTAATTCTTCAGGTGAAGTGCATCGGTTTAGAACATCTGATGTCTCTCAAGCCACATTAGCCAGTGTAGCCCAGGTATTTACCGTGGTGAGTATATAGAATACCTGATAACTTACAGAAAGTACCTGCCTTGCTTATTTGTTGGCATTCTACCACGCTATTATTTTTGTTTTGTACTTAAAGTCGTGTTGTACTTAGCCAGTGACCTGAATGCCTGTTAGATTTCCTTAACAGTGCTCTTAACTTTGCCAACTACCAACCTCTTAGTACTAGAACTTGTCATTCAAATCATACCTCAAAGCTGGAACCCTCAAAATTTCTCATGTATCTGCTTAGAATTTATTAAAGGTTATTTATAGTTAGAGAAGGATTTGAATCTGTGCTTTGTAAAACATGCAGAAGTATCTTGAAGGAAGCACAGTCTAGTACTTAAGAGTACTGCTTTGAAGGGGTAACTGTTTAAAAAGAAATGCACTCATTACCTTACTTATGTAACTGTAATCCCCTTGTTCATCACCTTTACAATAAATAAAAAAGAAAAATATTTTTTGGGGGGTGGGGGTCCGGTCATGGGGCCTGAACTCTGGGCCTGGGCGCTGTCCCTCAGCTCTTCAGCTCAAGGCTAACGCTCTACCACTTAAGCCACAGCACCACTTCTGGCTTTTTTCTTTTTTTTTTTTTTGTTTATGTGATGCTGAGGAATCGAACCCAGGGCCTCAAGCATGCAAGGCAAGCACTCTACCACTGAGCCACCTTCCCAGCCCAAGAAAAAAATATTTTAAAAAAGAATACTTGCTTTGAAAGCTGGAGGAGGATGAATGAATTAATAATAGATTGAGACCCTTGGTAAGCAAAATGAGGGTGGCCTGAGTGAAAGTTATGTAGGAACTGGTTGTGCTGCTGCAGCTTTTTTGACAAGCTTTTCTAGAAGTTTGATTTTAAAAATGAGCACTTGATCTGAGCCAGATTTCCTAAATTTAAATCTCAGTTCTACCTTTTGCTATTAACTAGGTGGACTTGGACAAATTTTGATTGCGTGTTACCTTAGTTTTCTCATTTTTAAACTACGAGTAAGCCTACTTTATAAAATTGTGAGGATTAAAGTAACTTGTGTATTTAAAATCATATGATGTGTTAATAAGTCTAATCATAATGGCTAGCATGTGTAAAATATGTTGTTCATATTTGCCCTCCTTTACCCTCTTCTTTCATCAACTGATTTTACTTGAAATGAGTTTGGAAAGCAAATTGATTACAAAGTAAACCTTTGGGAAAGCCAATTTGTATAATGTTTTAAAAAAGTATTCCATTGAAGAAAAATTGTACACAATAAATTTAGTATGCTGTAGGAAGTAGGTGTATCATGAATATCTTTCAGTAAAATACTAGCGTGATTTTCTCTAAAATTTGTCCTGGCATGTGACTGAAGAGTTTTATCATTTGTCTTCAGTGGATACATGTTTATGGTGTAATCCCAAGGATGGAAGAGCCTGTATTACACAAATGTAAAGCTTCCTTTAATTTTAATAAAACTTCCCTTTAACATGGGTGTTTTATGCTACTTATATATTCATATTGATCCTGGTTCATGACAAGCTGAAATATATGCTGTAGGTTTCTGTTGTGTTCTTACTAACATAGCATTCAGATGTTTACAAAGTAATAACTCAAGACCTGGTTTACCTACAACTACAGCTTAGAGTATGTTTTTCTAGGGAAAAAAGTATGTATTTCATAGTAAATAATACAGGCCACTACATGGATTTTATAAAATATTATTGTATTTTTTTAAATATTTAGACAACTCTGAAAAGTTACCTCTACTTTATAAGAAAAGGGTATAATGTGTCATATCCTCTCTCCAAACAATTTGAATAGGCCTTTTCTGTACATCTTTATTGATTCTGCCATTGCCTAATGGAGAGGCTTCTTAGCCTCAAGGGACACACTTAGATTGATGGATGACAAGCCATGCCATATTTAGTTCCAGTCTGCTGAGAGAGCTGAAACCGAAGAAATGCAACAAAGCAGAATAAAGTGTGTCCTCTCAAAAGAAGTCTTTTCAGCTTCGTTGGCTTGCTAACTGAAGTCTCAGGGGCAAAGAGATGAGATTCTCAGAGGAAGGAGTTTGATACACCTTGGCTCAGAGTCACCATAGCACTTCATGCCAGTATCTCTCAAAAACATCCTATAGATACGGGTTCCAGGGCCTCTGTGAGGAACATGGCTAGCTACAATACCAAGCACTCTCAGAAAAGGGCTGAGCTGTGGCTTCCCCCTGACATTTGTGATTTCTCACTTAGTCTGTTGTAATTTCTTCTTAGTCTATTGTTACCTGTTCCCTCTTTATCGGATTTCTAGAGGAATTAAGATAAAGCTAACTCAAGGTCAGGTTTATCCTAGCAAAGAAAAGGGGGAGGTTTTTTTTTTTTCAGCTCTTACAACTATATTTAACATAAAGAAAGTCACTTATGGCTTATTTCAGTATTTTAAGGGTATTACTCAATGACATAATATTTTATGTTTTTTTATACTCAGACAAAATTTGACACAGAAGGAAATGTTTCTTCTTTTGGTAAGTACCTTTTTTCTGAGTCACTTTTTAAACCAGTTACTGAGTCTGGTGAAAATTTGAGAACTGTAGTGTTTCAAGGAGAATATTCTTTCTGTGTACAGGTGTGTAGGAGTCTTTACTCAGCATTTGTCCATCAGTCCTAAGTAAAGCTGGTAATTCCTAGATTAGGCATATTTTCCCAGATTATTTCCCTCTGAAAGGAGCCACACCGACTCCAACATAGTATTGAAGGAGTATTTTGGAAAGTAGAGCTAGAGCACAAAAACACTTTTTCCAATTGGCTCTATCCTGTCAGTCTCCCTTATATTCTCTTCCTGTTTGTTCCAAAACATCTTAAGGTAGAATCCCATGACACCTCTGACACTGCAGTAGGAAGAAACAGTATACTGGATGGCAGTCACATGAAGCTCTGCCACTAACTGCACTCTGTGAATAGCAACTTATGAAAATTAAACAAAGATGCTGGGTAATGGGAGACTAATCCCCAGAACCACTGAATGAGAAGGAAGGAGGAGAAGGAGAGGGAAGAAAGCAGTTATTGCCTGTGTGACTTCAGCTTTTAAGATCATAATGTGGTTTTTGTTCAATATCCCCTTCAAAAGATTTTTCTACTTGTAGTCCTGTTACAGGTGTGGTTTGTTGCTACAAGTACAGACCCTCCTATAATCAATCTATCTTAAACTTCTCAGGTAATAAGCAGTTTTCAGGTAGGAAAGTTTGGTGTGAGAACCAACTTAATTCTGTCATTTTTTGTTTGGGAAAGAACAAACGTTCATAAATGTTTCATGCTGAATATGTTCTTATAATTAAAATATATAGTTGTACAAAATTCATATTGGAGACAAATAATCAGTGTCTCAAGGTAGAAATTGCTTACTGTACCTTAATAGTGTATGGTTATGACTTTTTTATATTGCTTCTAAGTAACCCCTCCTCCAAAAACGTTAAGAAGTATAGAAAAAGAGTGTGCTTTTTAAAGTAAAACTGGGTATGGGAATAATAGAACTGCCCAATTTATAGTTTAGCCCATTCTTCTTTTAATAGAAAAGAAGAAAACAGAATTATACCAGGAGTTAGGTCTTCAAGCCAGAGATTTGAGGTTTCAGCATGTGATGAGCATTACCACCAGAAACAACAGGATCATCATGAGAATGGAGGTAAAGGACTTTATGTTCATCTACATCTCTCCACCACAGCCTTACAATGTTATCTCTAGTCATCCTGGTTAATAGCTAGATTGAAAATTATTTCAGAATAAAAATGGGCCATATTATAATCCAATACATTAGCAGAACTCTTTACACGGATTATACTGAGTAGATTTAACACTGCTTCCGATTTTATGTTGGAAAAAGTCTGACTGTGGTCTTCATTCTCATTGTTTGAAGTAGTCTACCTTCTGAAGCTATAAGAGAATCTTGATTTGTAGTAGATACATTTTGCTTGTCTTCAGTTATGTGTGATTATAGTATAACCTTAGCTAATAGTTTTCTGGTTTTTCAGATAGCCTGGGGCTATCAAATTTTGAAACCTTAGATTTTTTTTTAAGCTTTCTGAAATATTTTGAATTTCCCTCACTAATTCAGAACACAAAAGAATTTGACTTTCCTTAATGATAACATGCTCAGTAGTTGTTTGGGTGTGTGAAAGTTTAGCATCCTAAAACAGACCCAGGAGACACAGCTCTAGTTGATATTGGCCCTAAAGTGGGCATGGACTTGTTTTCTTGTGTCTTTGAGGGCAGATTTTTTTTGTCCATTTATCTAGAATTAAAATAATTTTTAATCAAACTAATCTTCGGAAAACAATCTACTGTATTACTGGTCACTAGCATCCTTCAAAAAAGTATCTCTGTGAAGGAGAAATAGATATGTGAGATAAGACAGATTTAATAAACTATTACTAAGTGGTGTTCACTATATAGTCTCAACTTTTTGTTTAAAATTTTTTTCATAATTGTTGAAAATAATATTAAAAAACCATTCCTATTTTCTATATCACTAATACAGTAGTCATAGGCTACCTCTATTCTTTCAACATAAGAAATACAATCTCTTTTTAGAGAGATTTCTCATTTCACACTATTCTAAATTAGAAGAGCCCCAAGGCTAGGTCTGTAAAATTTCTAACTAGCTTAATAAATGGTGATATTTTAAAAAGGAATCTTGAAAAAAACCTTTATCTTTCCCTGTATTCCTTTTTTTTTTTTTGGTTGGTCCTGGGGCTTGAACTCTGGGCCTGAGCGCCGTCCCTCAGCTCTTCAGCTCAAGGCTGATGCTCTACCACTTGCGCTACCGAGCCACTTCCAGTTTTTTGGTGGTTTATTGGAGATAAAAGTCTCATGGACTTTCCTGCCCAGGCTGGCTTTGAACCGCGATCCTCAGATCTCAGCCTCCTGAGTAGCTAGGATTACAGGTGTGAGCCACCGGTGCCCGGCTTTCCCTGTATTTCTTATGATTACCCTGGAAGTCTAAATGAAATTATGATTTGTATAATTCCATTTCTCTTGAAAGTAAATTAGAGGTATCAAAACACTTATATTCTAGTATTCCTTCTTTTAAAAAAAATATGATTTGATTTAGTTCTAACACAAAATCAGAAAAATGTTAAACCCAGTTATATGCATACTATTGTTTTCTGTAGCTCTATAACTTGGATACTGTGAATCTACATATGTAAATATGTGTCTATATCGATGGATACACACATTTATATACTTTTTGTTGTTCTTTTCACAGTATTTGAAAGCTGTGGTAACTCCGGAGTGTCTTCTGATACTAGATTATCGGAATTTAAACTTGGAGCGATGGCTGTTCCGAGAACTCCCGTCGCAGCTGGCTGGAGAGGGTCAGCTTGTCACATACCCTTTACCTTTTGAGTTCCGAGCTATAGAAGCACTCCTGCAGTATTGGGTAAGCCTATTTTTATTTAGTTTCTTAACTTTGTTGGGTTTTAAATGCTATTGAGGTTGAAATAAGTTATTAATTCAATGATGTTCCTTCACGCAGTCAGAAACATTTTTAAGGGTACTGATGGAGATAGTACTAATTCCTAAATTTCAAGGTTCTATCAAAGAGAACTAGTGTATGCAGAGCATAATCACTTAATGAAACACATTTAAAGGTGGCTACATTTTATATGATTAAAATAGCCATAATTGATTGATACTTGAAAATACTTAACATCCTAAATATATGTTAAGTCAAATTTCAAATACATTGCTTTTTTCTTTCTAAACTATGTATATCACGTGCTTACACATATAGATATATTATTTAATCATTTTTCTGTTCGTTGTGAAACCTTTGAAGTAGCTAAGTAATGCCTCAGTTTGAGATCTAGACTGACTTGGAAACCATACTTAATTCTTCTAATGACCTCCCCCCTCCCATTAAATTGATAGTAATGGATGTCTTGAGATATTGTCACACCCAAACAAGAGTGGTTCACTACTTTTCTGGACTCTACCACTCTCTCATTCTCTTTTCTGCCCTCAGTAGTGTTTAAGAGCTAACTGCATACAAGAATTGGTGCAAGGGGAAGTGGCACTGTGGCTCAAGTGGTAGAGCGCTAGCCTTGAGTTGAAGAGCTGAGGGACAGCGTCCAGGCCCAGAGTTCAGGCCCCACAACCACCACCACCACCAACAAAAAGAACTGGTGCAAGGAACATACTAACCAGAAGGGGGAAGGAAAAGAGGGTAAAAAAGACATGAGATGGGTGTGTTTGGTTGAGCCTGGTGCCCTTCTCTTTTGCCTGCATTGTTCTAATGTTGGAAGAGATTATTGCACTCTGTGTTAGTGTTACAGAGGCAACAGTACCAGGTGCAAACGGTTGTCAGTAACAGGCTGCACAGGTGCTCAGGAGCTCATGATGTGTTAACCAATACAGAGCTCTTTGTCTCTCAGAGCTCTGCCATGGGGAAACAGATTATACATTATGAGAAATTCACATTTTTTATCAGGAGAAATTTCTTCTGAAAGAATAGTGCACAGAAAGTGAGGCCAGCCATGCACGCCGAGGGATATCTTTTCAAAGGGAGCTCCCCAAACCACCCGAGGGACTGTGACATGCCAGCAGCAGCTACGCTTCACAGACATTGGGACTGTGATCTTCAAGCTGCCTTCCCAATCACTACCTGAGTCCAGAGCTCACTAGGCACAGGATTTGCTATCTCATTTGGAACATTAGACTGTCCAGCTCTTTCCACTCAAGGTCTTCTGAACCTGAAAGCAGTTCTTCAAGGTTATCTGCAAATAGGTACCCTGAACTCAAGACTCAAGTCAGAACATTTAAAATCCCATTTAAATTCTAGTTTTCAGAACATTGTTCACAAGAATCTTGAACTGTATTCTCTTTACAAAGAACATAAATATTATATTCTGAAGGTAAATTTTGTTTTAACCATGGAATAGCAGATTTGATTTTAGAAATGAATCACTCTTTTCTTTCATGGTAATTGTCTGTAGGGATAACTCTTTCCTGCATTACTTCCCTTTCAACCAAATCTGAGCCTGCTGATAACATTGAGCATAGTTCTCTTAGCGCGGGAGATTAGTTTTTAATCATTCACAGATGATTCCATCATTGACCATGTTCTGAAAGTTCTAGCTATGACAAATACCTGTATTTAATCAGAGGATTCGCTGACCCTAAGCATTCTAAAAAGGTTGTTTTAATTCTTATGAAAGGTCATGTTGTTGTCTAGATCAATACTCTTCAAGAGAAACTTAGCATTTTGCAGCCACTCATCCTTGAGACACTAGACGCTTTAGTGGATCCCAAGCATTCTTCTGTAGACAGAAGCAAATTACACATCCTACTACAGAATGGCAAAAGGTAAATATGAGTGTTATAAAGACAAATTTCTTAAATTTCTGTTTTGCTAATCTTATTAGTGAAGTGTTTAGCATAAATTCATATATAAAAGTATGTATCACAATAAAAAATAAAAAAGTATATACCTGTACATACTGATGTACATGTGAGTCCTCACGACACCGTCTCCAAAATAACCAGCAAAAAGCAGCCCAGCTGGAGGTGTGGCTTAAGTAGGAAAGCACTAGTCAAACAAGCAAGCAGAGCTTTGCAGAAGCCCTAAGTTCAGTCCCTAGTAGTGGCAAAAGAAACAAAAAAAAAGCAAAGGTGTTGATGTTGTGGCCCATATTTGAGACCCATGGCTCACTCAGTCCTTACCTAGTAGAGAAGAAACAGTGAATAATCTGGGGGAAGAGGTATAACTCAATGGTAGAATACTTGATTACCATATAGCCAGGGCCTAGATTTGATCCCAAGCATCACAAAAAGTAAACTTAAAAAATAAAATAAAGGTTTATGGTTGATATTATCTTGGCTTATTGTGAATAAAAATAAATTCCCAATCCAAATATCCTAAATTCAAAACTATTCCACGTTTCTGAGATATATATGCTAAAATTTATATTTGTAGGCTGGTGCTCTACTATTTGAGCCATGTCTCCAGCTGAAACTATTGCTACATCACTGATTAATTTTGCCAATTAATTTAGTTTTGGTTTGGAATTTGTTCCAAATTTGTATGAAAACTATCAAAATGTTTTTTGTTGGTTATTGTTCCTCTTTGAGTGATTAAAGGATTTACTTGATAGGATACCCTAAAAAGGCACTCTTCTTAGCATGAAATGTTACTATCAGTTTATGCCACTGTGTTTCTGTATGACTCTTCTTACAGTCTGTCAGAGTTAGAAACAGATATTAAAATTTTCAAAGAGTCAATTTTGGAGATCTTGGATGATGAGGAGTTGCTAGAAGAGCTTTGTCTGACCAAGTGGAGTGACCCACACGTCTTGTAAGTAAACTCCCCCTTATTTATTTCCTCCGGGACTTCCATGGTTTTTCATAGGGAATTTTTCAAGAATAGAGAATATAGGCATTTCTTCCTCAATCACTTTTTCCTCACCTCTGATTCAATTTAATAAATATATGTTGAATGTGCACTGGAGCCCAACCTTGGTGGGCTGAGATGAATATAAAAATAGTTATCTTCATTTTCACAGGGCAAACCCCCAAACTGGCACACACCTCTAATGAAATAATTTATCCCAGTAGAATGAAGAGTTGGGGAGGGACAAGGTAGGGTAAACCAAGACAAGACATCAGCATAAATTCTGTAAACTTGGTCTAATATAAAAATGCACACAAACTTTTTTTTAATCTCCTATGAATTTAGAAATATTACTCTTCTGCTTGCTCAAATTAGTTTTTTTTTTTTTTTTTGGGTCCGGTCGTGGGACCTGAACTCTGGGCCTGGGCGCTGTCCCTCAGCTCTTCAGCTCAAGGTTGGCCTTTACCACTTGAGCCACAGTGCCACTTCCGGCTTTTTTCTTTTTGCTTATGTGGTGCTGAGGAATCGAACCCAGGGCTTTGAGCATGCAAGGCAAGCGCTCTACCACTGAGCCACTTTCCCAGCCCCTCAAATTAGTTTTTTTAAATACTCAAAATAGTTTTGTCCTTGCAAGGCAGTATCAGAAATTAAAACAGATCCATGCAGAGATTTTTTAAGCCTTTTTTAGAAATTGGTTATTTATATTCTAATAAGGAAATAAAGATAAAGGGCTATAGAATGTTTGGTAGGTAGCATCTAGATATAATAGAAACTTATTTCACTGGTTTATATTTGCTTTGTTTAGGCTGATCTATCTTTTACGTGTTTTGTGACAGAAGTTTTACAGAATGCATCATTCCTCTTTTTGTGTCCACACCTGCACACAGATGCTTGCTTGCTCATAGATGGCGAGCTACACCTCCAATTGGTCATTTTGCTGGTTGATTGGAGATGGAGTCTTACAGACTTTTCTACCTAGACTGGCTTTGAACTTCAATTCTCTAATCTCCTAAATAGCTTATAAGACTACAAGTGTAAGTCATCAGAGCCCAGGTTTATCCTCTTTCTTGATAGGGATTGTGGATTTAAGAACAAAATAATTGTGTATTAATACAATTCAAAAACATTTTCTTGAGCCAGCCATGGTAGCACATGCCTATTATTTTCCTGGCATTTGGAGGCTGAAGCAAGTGAGCCTCAAGTCCAAGGCCAGCCTGAACCTCATAATGAAAACTTGTCTCAAAAAAAATTTTCATATGTGAAAATTACATTATAGATTCATCTTGGAAAGGAAATGCTCTTTTTGTTCATTTCTAATTTTGGTTTTATTTTGCTTGGTAGTAGTTTGAGATTTAGCTCATCAAAATTCATTTTGATTTTTCCTTGAACAGGTAGAACATGTTTTCATGAGTCTTAGACTGGGGCTATGGGATACAGTGGAGCTAACTAGCATATGAAAGGATGGAGCCTTACTCCTCAAGATACCTGTGTAGTGTTTAGGAACCGCTGACATGGCCTCCCACAGATTGAACTGTTACAAGAGTAGAAAAGGCAAAGGCTAGGTTTTTTCCACTGGTGGCTGAAGTTTGAGTCACTAAATATGTGATACACCTATTGGGAAGGTGTTAACTATGTTTAATTAACTCTTTGAATTGAAGTGAGAAGAGCAGTACTGGGATTGACCATGCAGAAGAAATGGAATTGCTCCTCGAAAACTACTACCGATTGGCTGAAGATCTTTCTAATGAAGCTCGTGAACTTAGGGTACTAATTGATGACTCGCAGAGTATTATCTTCATCAATCTAGATAGGTAAGAAAGCACCATAAAACATTTGTCTTCCCTACAAAATATTTTAAAGAGTTTTTTTTCAAAAGGTCATTTTGGAAGAACTTAGGCCACCATCACCATTTATAACTACTACACAGGTTTGTTCATTTGTGTTTTGAAGGTATAGAGCTAATACAAGTGGTCTTTATTAGATTACTAAAGTACATAGTCCGTAAGTCACCTGCTCTGAGTTGGTGTTCTCCTTTCCAGTCACCGGAATGTGATGATGAGGTTAAATCTACAGCTGACCATGGGAACCTTCTCGCTCTCTCTCTTTGGACTAATGGGCGTTGCTTTTGGAATGAATTTGGAATCTTCTCTTGAAGAGGTAAAAATGTATTATTCAATAACTTGGGGTTTTTTTTGTTCTGTTTTAAATGATTTTCAGGTCCATTTAATTTGCTAGTGCTGGGTATTGAACTCGGCACTCTACCACTTGTAGCAGACCCCCAGTTATTTTGCTTTGTTTTCAGATAGGGTCTCATGTTTTGGGGGGTTTTGGTCCCCCCATGTCCCCAGATTGACACCACTATACCTGAAAAAGATCAGTTTTTTAATGGATTTAAATGTAAACACATTCCCATAGATAGTGAAATAAATATGAAGTGTAACTTACTTAGAATTGGCAATATTAGTTCTTATGTGTCTGTCATTGTAACTGGAAGTTTGATACTTTATTTGGCTCAGTATTGCAACTCTGTGCCAGTAGATATATCATCCCTACTTTATAGATGAGAAAACAGAAACTTAGAAAAGTTAAGGTATTTGTCCCAGGACACATCTAGAAAATAAGCATTAAGATTTCAACCCAAAGACTGTACTTTCCACTAGCTCTCCTGCCTTTTTGTGTTAACACTAAACTCCCATAGTCTTTCTACTATTCTAGCCTTGTGTTTTCAGAGAACAACTTACTATAATATTTCGAGCACTGATCTAAAAGTATGGTTGACACTCTCATGACTGATTTGGTGTTCTAATTAGTTTAACAAGTCCACTGTCTTTTTAGGGCCATCACCCTAGTCTAATCCATATCATCTCTCTCGAGGACCACTATATACTTCTAAAAACTGGTTCAAAAGATGTAAATCTGGCCAGTGACTCACACCTGTAATCCTAGCTACTCAGGAGGTTGACATGCCTTTGTGATCCTGTGGATCACAGTTGAAAGCCAGCACAGGCAGGAAAATCTGTAACCTTTATCTCTGATTAACCACTAAAAAAACAGAAGTGGAACTATGGCTCAAATGATAGCCAACCTTTAGTGAAAAAAGCTAAGACGTCTGATTCTTAAGTTCAAGCCCCAGGACCCGCGTGCACACACAGAGAAGATATAAATCTGATTGTGTCACTCTTGTACATACAAATATTCAGTGGTCATTATTTTATTTTTGGTGGTACTGGAATTTGAACTCAGGGCCTCATACTTACTAGACAGACATTCTACCACTTGAGCCATACCCTCAGTACTGTTTGCTTCTTGTGGTAGAATCTCATATTTTTGCTTAAGCTTGACCTCAGATTGTGACTCTCCTACCTCTGTCTCCTATATAGCTGGAATTTTCATGGTAAGTCACCGAGCCTCCCTATCTTTTGAGATAGGATCTTGATAACTTTTTACCTGATTTGGCCAGATGGCGTCAACTGCAATCTTCCCATCTACTCTAGGTAGCTAAGCTTACAGGTGTGAGCCACCAAGCCCAGCATTCACACGTCCTTTGATTAACCTTCAGATAAAAATCTAGATCCTGTATCTGTAGGGCTTTTCCTGATTTCCTGCATCTGCAGCCACTCTGGTCAGGTGATCCATCCTTGCTTCTTCTCACCCATGCTGCCTCCACACCGCCTCTCTACTTTCTACCTTTGTCTGGTTAATCCACCCCACTTCTCAGATCTTTTGAATTAAGCATCATTCTTATGTACATAGGTAAACATCTGAAATGCTCAAGAATCTAGAATTTTTTGAGCACCAATATTCCAGAGGCAGGAAATTTCATTCCTGACCTCATGTTATAGGTCTGTCAAAATGCAGTCTCACTAGAAATATTGTATGAAATATATTTTGTTTAGACACCCAAAAGTAATGTCATTTTGTATAATCAAATATTCCAGAGCCTGAAATACCTCTGATCCTAAGAATTTTGGAGAAAGTTTATGGAGTATGGGTTAAATACCCTAACTCCATTTTATACTTTGCTACTTGGGAGGCTGAGGCAGGAGAATCTCCTATACCCATGAATTCAAGGCTAGCTTAGGCAATACAGCCAAACTCTGGCTTAAATAAATCACTTTGTGATAGTTTGGTTACATGCAATCCTAGTTGTCACGAGGTATGAATAGTCAGTAGTGAGCAAACTAACAAGGTTGCCTACTTAGCTCTAAGCACCCTACTCTTTTGTCATGAACTCTGTCATCTGTTTTAGGACCATCGAGTGTTCTGGCTGATTACAGGAATTATGTTTATGGGAAGTGGCCTCATCTGGAGGCGTTTGCTTTCATTCCTTGGAAGACAACTAGAAGCCCCATTGCCTCATAAGGTATGAAGGTTGTGGCTGACAGTAGTATTGTGGAGGGCTGTAATCATGGCTCTGAAGTCAGGTAGCCTGGGCTTAGGCAGTCACAGATTTTTGTGAGCCTGTACAAGTTACTTCTCTAAACCTTCCTCAGTTTCCCCATCTCCCTGTTTCCCTATCTATTAGTTCAGTCAGTCAGCATTATCTACTTCACAGGATTGTTTGAGAGAATTAAATAAGTTCTGTATAGCACAGTGCCTGGTTAGAAATTGAATTTTAAAAAACTAGCAAGCATTATACAATAAGACAGATTATACATTTAGACAGATGGTGCAAGCTTTTATCATAATCAAATATGGGAAAATGTGTTGTTGAAAGGGCATAATGTTTATCTTTGTAGTAGATGCCACCATGGAGTAAGTAGTGACGGATGGCTTCCAGATCTTCATATCATTTTACCTGTGAATTATTTCTTGCTTCATCTAGATGGCCTCTATACCTAAAAAGGCCCTTCTGGCAGATAGAAGGATGGATGTGAAGAGCAGCCTGAGACCAGATGGACTTGGACCGAACAGGACTGTCCTAACAAACCGCTAACATCCACCTGGGGGGTAGTCTATATTTTTTTATACTTCTGATAATTTATTTTCTTTTATAGAGTCATATGCTCAAAAAAAGATTCATATGTAAAATGTCTGATTATAAAAAATAGAGCATTCTTAATAATAGAACTCGATTGCATTTCCAGAATATTAAGCAAGGTGCTTTCTTTGTAAAAGGCCAAAATTCTATTTCCTAGAAACTTAAATACTGTTTTATAGGCATGCTATGAAACAGACTAATTTCAGGGTGACCGTTAGATAGACTTTATATCTTAATTTAAGTGCAGTTTTCTGCCAAATGAAGCCAAGGAACTTGAAGCCACGGTCATTGAGATCAGGTAACCACAGTTCTTAAGTACAGGGAATTAGGTTCATCCAAGCTCATAGTACTAGAAAGCTGGCATATGCCAGGTGCCAGTGGCTCATGCCTGTAATCCTACCTACTCAGGAGGCTGAGATCTGACGATCACAGTTCAAAGCCAGCCAGAGCAGGAAAGTCAATGAGACTCTTATCTCCAATAAACCACTAGAAAACCAGAAGTGGCGCTATGGCTCAAGCAGTAGAGCACTTACCTTGAGCTGAAGAGAGCAGGGACAGCGCCCAAGCCCAGAGTTGAAGCTCCACTACTAACAACAACAAAAAAAAAAAAAGCTGGCATAACGTGTTAAACTCTAGAAGTTTGTGCTCTAAAATTAATCCTTGAAATGATCTTATTTTCTTGTATATCAGCATTTATATGGACTCCAGTTAATCAAGATTTCACACCTACTACCCTGTTTTCTTTGTTTGGCTATAAGAGCCTTTTGAAGTAAAGTTAAAAGGAAGTATTTCTATGCTGTTACTGTTTTCTTACTGCTTTATTGCCTAATTTTTAGCGTTTGCTTTCTTTTAAGACAATCTCCCTGAAACCTAGCTAATCTCATGCCCACCCCCTCAAAAGTTAATGGGGGGCTGGGAAGGTGGCTCAGTGGTAGGTAGAGTGCATACATGAGGCCCTGAGTTAGATTCCTCAGCACCATTTAAGCAGAAAAAAGCCAGAAGTGGCACTAACCTTGAGCTGAAGAGCTGAGGGACAGTGCCCAGGCCCAGAGTTCAAGTCCATGACAAAAAAAAAGGGGGGGGGTAGGCATCTAAATCAAGAGGGCAAAAATGTTGGTCTTATAACTTTTTATTTTCATTTTAATAAGAGGCTTGAATTGCCAGGCTCCAGTGGCTGACGTCTGTAATTCTAGCTCCTCAATAGGCTGAGATCTGAGGACAATGGTTCAAAGCCAGCCTGGGCAGGAAAGTCTGTGAGACTCATCTCCAGTTTGATCACCAGAAAACCAGAAGTGGCTCTGTGGCTCAAAGTGGCAGAGTGCTAGCCTTGAGTGAAAAAGCTCAGGGACAGCACCCAGACCCTGAGTTCCAGCCCCATGACCCTGGCCCAGCCCAAAAGAGGCTTGAATTGAAAACAAATAGCTATTATTTTCCTAATCAGAGGCCAGAATTTTAAACATAGGATAGCAGCACTCAAAAATACTACCTACTTAACATCTTACTAGCCTTCATGTATTTTCTGGACTTTCCTTACATTGTATAGAAAATAGTGTGCATGGAAGATTTTTGAATAGCAAAAGCAGCTCTTATTCCCAAATGCAGTAGCAAAAGGATAAATAAAAGCCTGATCTGATGTTGTTAGAGTATCTGATTACCCTAGTATGGTAAACTTCCCTTGGAAGTTTAGGGATCTTTTTACCAAGTAGTTTGGTGATAGAAGTAACATTCCTTCCATTCCCTACGTGATTATAGGAAGCCATGGGAGGGAAGCTGGAAAGTAGTGTCACGAGACATGCTAGGTTAGTGTTTGGAGCCTGAGTGAGCACTGTGCACCATTCTGTGGGTAGGAACACACCCTTGTGGTATGGATGCCAAACGTGAATAGTTCAGTACCTCTAGCATCATGAGTCCTTTTGATGATTTTTAAGAATACTTTGATAATTCTTGAATTTCACAGGACACTCTTCTTCAGCACAACTAAAAGCATTCTGTTAGTTTTGGTCTTACCACTGTAAAATAGGTAATAAGTATTACTTAACTGGAATATGGAATCCTAGAGGGTAAAATTTGATTTAAGGTCAGATGTAGGATCAAAAATTAGCCAGGCACCGGGTGGCTCACACCTGTAATCTAGCTACTTAGGAGGCTGACATCTGAGGATCGCAGTTCAAAGCTAGCCCAGGCAGGAAAGTGCCTGAGACTCTTGACTCCAATAAACAACCAGGAAACCAGAAGTAGCCCTGTGGTCAAGTAGTAGAGTGCTAGCCTTGAGCTGAAGAGCTGAGGGGCAATGCCCCATGACTGACAAAAAAAAAAAAAAAATAGTCATGCCCCAGCAAAAAAGGGAAAATAGGCTAACTACCTCATACATTTCATAAAAGGAAGCTGCTAATACTTTTTTAAAGGTAGTTAGATCATGTACATATAATTTTTAAATTCCATTTGGCTCTGTTTTGGTTATTTCAGAACGATCATATAATTCTCATAAGTCAAATTAAGGGTTTGAAATACTGAACTGAGCCGGGCACCAGTGGCTCACACCTGTAATCCTAGCTACTCAGGAGGCTGAGATCTGAGGATCACAGTTTAAAGCCAGCACGGGCAGGAAAGTCCATGAGACTCTTATCTCTAATAAACCATCAGAAAACTGAAGTGGTGCTGTGGCTCAAGTGGTAGACCACTAGCCTTGAGCTGAATAGTTAAGAGACAGTTCCCAGGTCCAGAGTTTAAGCCCCACAATTGACGACAAAATAAAAAAATACTGAACTGATTAACACATTAACGACTGAGTTAGGTGACTGGGCAGTCACATTCCCTGTTAAGAGCATGAAGAAGAAAGCATCTTTCCTTTTGGAAGGTTTCTGTAGGCAAAACAGACATCATTTTAGAATACTATTTAACCCTTGATTTATTCTTGATATATTTTTGGTAAACAGACTGTAAAATAGCCTAAGAAATTCCATATTAAAAAGATAGTTATTTTGGTGAGTGAGTTATTCCAATAGTGTGCACAGATTTTTATTTTGAATGGCAATATTAAAGTCACACTTTGAATTTAGGATTTACTTTTTTTAGTAATAGCCACAGAGGTCATCTAACAGATTGTGGAATAAGGACTTCAGAGACCTGAAGTCTGCTGCCTAGCTCACTACACATCATTTTTATCTCGTGTGATTAAAAAGGTGTAAAATATTTACGTCTTGGAAGTTGTTGGATATACAGATAGTAGAAAGACAAATGTCTTAATATCTTGAAATAAGGTTATCTCAGCTACTCTTGAAGAAACTTAGATTGGTGTGAATGAGAAAACCCTTTTTTTGCATGTCAGTAAACATTTCAGAGTTGATGCTTAGAACTATATTTAATTTAGTGGAATAAATTCAGTCCACCTACCAGGATAATACATTAGACTTTTACCATGTATTGTTCTCTATGCCAGGTTCTTATACATTTGCCATGTAAGTTGACCTAAAACAGTAGGAATATATTCTACTTCATTTTTGACAATGTATGAGTATGACAATAGTATGAGTAAATGTACAGTAAGTTTGAAAATGTGCTTCAATGTAAATTTTTATAACTTTTTAACCTTTACCTGCTATCTGGTTTGTTCAGTCATTGAGGTCAATAATGATCCTATCATTTTAGCAAAGCGTAAACACACACTTGATCTAGCTCAGTGGTAGAGTGCTAGCCTAGCACATGCAGGGTTCCTAGTGCCACATTAAAAAAAAAATCATAACAAAGCACCGACACCTTATATAGCAATGACAAGGTAGCCAGGCAGTTAGAAAGCCTCTAAGAAAACTAAGATAGTCCTGGAAGTGGTCCAGATGGATCTAAGTATGGCCCTTTTCTCCTGTCACTTTCCTCACCATACACTCTCAACCACAGTAGCTTTTCTTTAGTTTCTACTTTTTACCAATCTGTCTCCAGAGAAGATGAGAAAGAGACTTTCATCATGCTTTTCATATCAGTTCACTAGTTTATCAATCAGAGAAGAAGCTCTCTCTTCTGACACTAAATTAGCTACTTTCTATGTAAATAATGCCAGAAAAATTTTAAAACAGCCCAAGGACAAGTGATGCCAAAGCCTTTTCCCTTATTCATTTTGTCCCTCATAGAGACCCTGGCCCAGGCCACTCCTCTCCTCCCTACTTCTGTTGGCACAGCTTGTGGCAATGTAGCTCAACGAAGTTCCCTGGAGAGATGACTTAACACTAGCAGAGTCCTGAGGTTCATCGCTTGTTAGAACAGCTATCTCTACATAAGCATGTGAGAGCACAGAAAGGTAGCTGAGTTTTAGTTATATTTGTCTATTATATAACATGTGGAAAATACAATAGTCCTCATTAAAAGAACCAAAGCACAAGTGATTTGGGAGTGGGAGGTGGTCTCACCCCCTTATCTTCCTCTGTACTATTTCCCTTCCTCCCTCAATTCTTCTTTGTGTACTATGAATGTGACAAAATACCTGAGATAATAAAGTTAACAGAGGAAATGTTTATTTTGCCTCACAGTTTCAGTTCATAGTCATTTAGCAGTTCATCATGGTAGAAGCCATGGCAGAGAAAAGCTGCTTGCTTTATGACAGTCAGGAAGCAAAAAGAAAGGAAAGCCTGGAGTCCTAATGTAACTTCCTCCAACCAGGCCTCACCCATGAGTTTCCACCACCTCCCAACAACTGTTAGCTGGGGACCAAGCTTTCAATATATTAGCTCTGGGAGACATTTACGATCAGCCACCATAACAAAAAGGGGTTGTTTGTGGTTAGCTTTGTTTTCTTTAAGGAACTACATAAGATTGTCTAAGACATAACCACAGGAAACCTTTCCAGGTCTCAGGGAGACACACATAGATGTTCAAGTAGGAAGAACAAAGGTTTAGATGCAGAAGCAAACAAGTGAAATTTGTAAGAGGAATGAATACATACATTTAGTGCAGTCATGCACTTTGCCATATTTGCAGACATTTTGGCTGTTAGAGCATGTCTCTTCCACGAGTCAGCCACTGGATTTGCCAGCTTGCCCACCAGAGTAGTCTCCCTGAAGAGGACTCCATGAGAGAGGGAGGGAATAGGAAAATGGAGTGTCTTCAGTTTGGGCTGAGGCTATAGACATGAAGTGTCCCCGAGAGCCGTGCTCCCAAAGAACTCCTTCCAGCAGCAATGACAACTTGGTTCTATAAGAGATACAGCAGAATTTATGATTCATTCATGCCCCTCCCGTAGACCAAACATCATGCTCTGCCCTGGAAATTAAAAAAAAATAATAAACTAAGATACTGGTCAGAGCACAGCTTGAACTTAAATGCTTTTCTCTGTCTGTAAAATAAATAAACCCCACAGTTGAGGAAGCACACCCTGACCCCCTCTTGCCCATAAAAAATAAAGGAAAACTATGGAAGTGCATTCTAGAATCCTGCCTATGGTACAATGTAAACACCTGTTGAGGTATTTGCACATTGTTCTGCTGCTTGAAATGTTATGACTCATCTTTCAGGACTGCCTTTGAAACCTAAGTTGTTAATTACACAGTGGGCAAAATCTCCAATGTGTGGTGGGTTTTGATTTTTAGAAACTGTCAAGAGTTGTTCTAGACCCAGACCCAGCCTGGTGAATGAGATCTTGTGATCAAATCGGCTGATATACTGTTTGGATATACTGTTTGGTTGGGACATACTTTAGTGGTTCTTAATGATTCAATTTTGAACATTACTGACAAAATCTAGAAATAATCGCTAAAATGTATTAAGCCTTTATTTGTCAGATTATTGGCTTAGCCCTTTTCTTGTATTACCTCTTATACCCGAGTGTTAGTTTAAGGGAAAATTACTCAAGCTCAGGGAAAGGCTACCCTCTGATAATTCTCAGGTTGTCCGTGGCCACTGTTTAAACATAATTTCTGATTTATCCCTATACTCCTAATGTGTTAGTGCTTCCCCAGTCTCAGGTAGGTGAAGAATACAATACCAAGTGATCTCTTAACATTAATTTGGAATGTATTACTTTTAGATGGTCTATATATCACCATTTCTTAATCAGTATTAATTATGGATATATTTTTAAACTAATGCATAAATTCTCAAGTGTCCCATTTTTGGAAAACCCACAAAATTTCAAATTCAAAAAAGCAGGTTTGGGCTGGGACTGTGACTTAGTGGTAGAGTGATTGTCTATCATGCATGAAGCCCTGGGTTCAATTCCTCAGTACCACATAAACAGAAGAAGCTGAAAGTGGTGGTGGCTCAAGTGGTAGAACTTTTAGCCTTGAGCACAGAGAGGCTCAAGGACACTGCCCAGGCCCTGACTTCAAGCTCTAGGACTGGCAAAAAAAATAGGTTTACCATATAAAGTATTCTTCTGAAAATCCTTCCATAAGCTATTAATCCATTTTTGTGTATAGTAGGTAATCCTGAATTGTTGCCATCAGGCTTGCCTGTAACACAGGAACTGTTGGCCACTAGAGGGCAGTTCCACCAGGATTCTTAAAAGCAGGAGCATCTCCTAAGCCTTATAGACTTGGTTATATCTACTACTCCAAAATGTTAGAGGGCTTCCCCAGACTTCATCACACTGTTGAGACTTACTACTCATGGTACTCTTTAGCATTCAATCCTACACCAATTTGCATTTTATTTCATTTAGGTGTATATAAGTCTTATTTTTCAAGAGCAGGCCTGTTAATATTTCATGGCCTAGCACGGTTCTTCTATAGAATATCATATTGTTAAAGTAAATGAGTGGAATTAGTGGTATTATGACATAAAGCTTTCTATGTCTATTATATTTTTGGGTTTTTTTTTTTTGGATCCGGTCGTGGGGCTTGAACTCTGGGTCTGGGCGCTGTCCCTCAGCTCTTCAGCTCAAGGCTAGCACTCTACCACTTGAGCCACAGCGCCACTTCCGGCTTTTTTCTTTTTGCTTATGTGGTGCTGAGGAATCGAACCCAGGTCCTCATGCATGCAAGGAAAGAGTTCTACCACTGAGCCACCTTCCCAGCCCCTCTTATATTTTTAAATATATGTGCCCTAGATCTAGCATCCTGCTTCTAAGATTTTAACCTAAAAGGATATTTGTACAGTTATAAAAATAAGTACAAAAATGCTCTCTACAACATTGTCTGTAATGTTCACCAAAATGGAAATAGCCCAAATACCTTTGCAAAGACAAATTTAAGAACTGAAATATGGCACATGTATTGTGTAGCTCTGTGTACTTGTCTGGGTTGTGGCAAAATACAGCACATGAAAAAAAAGTCTTTTTGTAGTCATACAAAAATTATCAAAGTCTGGAAGAAAACAGCAACATATTTAAAACTATTACCCTGTAAGGCAGGATCAGCAAACATTTGCTGTGAAGAGCCAGATAATAACTTTGAGGCTTTGTGAGACGGAAGTCTCTGAAACTGCCACTGTAGCATGGCAACAACCATAGACAGCCCAGGAGGGGTGACTCTGCTGCATTCCAATAGACTTAAGGGACAGGGATCTACCTCAGTGATAGAGCACTTGTCCAGCATGTGGAAAAGAAAACTACAACTTCTAAACACTGACATTTAACTGCATATAAATTTCCTGTTACAAAGTACTTTTCAACTGTTGAAATATGTCTTGACTATGTTTAGTTCATGGCTACAAAAAGTCAAATGTTGGCCCATAGGCTATAGTTTACCAACCCCTGCTATTAAGGATAAAACAATAATATAGAAGGAAACTTCGCACCTTCAGAAATGGTGTAGGAAGTGGCACTGTGGCTCAAGTGGTAGAGTGTAGAGTGCTACCCTTGAGCTGAAAAGCTAAGGGCCAGCACCCAGGCCAAGTTTGAGATCCACGATGGACCAAAAAAAAAAAAGTGGGATTTGTGTGTGCATGGTACTTTCTTTTGTGCATGTATTCCTTTTTCAAATAAAAATAAAATCTAAAACTTTAAAGATGAGTCATCAGATCCTGGCATTAGAACAAATAGACATCAGTGTAGGCCTTGTAACTCACCTCTTTCTTTGACCTCACGGAGATCAGAGAGCTCCCAAACCTTGAACTTGCCTGTAAAATACACTCTGTTAATGGGTCTTTGACAAAGAACAGGCCATACTTCATCAGTTAAACTAAAGGATGTGCCTTTTTTTGTTTCTTTTAAAATTTCTTCATTCCTTCACGTGGTACTTACTTCAGGAGAAATTAGTACATATTGAGCCTGAAAAGGGGAGAGAAAAGGAACACAATGCTATTACTGTTGGTGTGGATTTTCAGTCAGTTACAGTTATACCTTTATGCCCACATTTCACTGAACAATGTACATGCCCTTTGACCTTTGAAAATGCATTTATAGGAACTTTCTAAGAATAAAATCAGATTCCTAAAAATGTTTATATGTGAGTATTTTCCATAAAGTAACTAGTGATCACCATTTATGACTAGTGATCTTTAGTATTTAAACTGGTTTATAGATTTAAAATATTAGGCAGCTAGCAAATATATGAATTTTAAAATATAATTAACCTGCCATTAGAATATCAGATAACAGAAAATATTCTTGATTGAAAATCCCTTATCCAAGAAAGATTGGTTCCCACAGTGTTCTTGATTTCAGATTTTAGAATATCTGCATTTATACAATGAAGTTGGAGACTGGACTGAACATGAGCTGGATCTAATTATGAATTTATTATATCCATAGCCTGAAGATAGTTTTGTGCAATGTTCTAATCTGTGCTGAAACAGTTTAGTCATGTGGAATTTTCCACCTGTACTGTCATGTCAGTGTTTAAAACATTCCAGATTTGCTTTTTTGATTCAAGAAGCTTGCCCTTGTGTATTCATTAAATTCATTTACAGAATCGTGCATGCAAAATATATGCTAAAAATACATGCACTCAGTAATAGTTAAGAAAAAGTTTACAATCAAGTCTTGATTCAAACCCCTATTGTATCTAGCATTGTGACCTTAGACTCTGATCTTCAGCTTTTATTTGTAATTGAGCATAATAGAAAACTTCATAGCATTGAAAGGGATTATATTACATATAGTGCTCAGCATGTGCATAGTAATACAGAACACAGAGGAGCAGATAAAGTCATGGAAAATACTAGAAGAGTACACTTCAGGTTAACAGGCATTAACTCTGCAGAGTAGAATTCTAGGTAGATAATTTTGCAATTTAAAAAACTGTTTAAATTTTAAAAATAATTAACAGCCAATGTTTGAGGGACAGGAAACATGAGTTAAGGAAACACACCTAAGAAAAGGCATTAGAAGTTTTAATGAAACTCCAACAGCCTTAGCTTGTTTTCTTTCTCCTGCTGTGGCAAACACCAGTGTGCCACCAAGTCCAGCCAGACTTTAGGTCTAGAGGCAAACATGGCACAACTGAGAACTGCAGGCCGCTGATTGTTCCTGACCCCATGACCTTGGAGTTGAGGCAAACTAAGTTTTACCTTGAACCTGGACTACCAGGGAATCAGTAAGTAGTCATCTTTACCCAATGTGGTGTTAGAATTTTGTCCTACACTTCACCTTTTCCTCTGGACATGGAGTTATCCAAGATTTGCATTTTCCTGTCATGTCTCCAAGGGTGGTCCCTTTGCCATTGTATACATACACTCTTCCATCTTCTCCTCCAAGCAGCCCAGAGGTTACATCTGTTATCCTCAGTGGGGCTGCCATAATGATTTCATCTGTAAACAATAAAAACCAGAAGAATAAGATATCAAACAACTTTTATTCTTTCCTGGTACCATTGCTAGATCAGAATCAACTTCCCACAAATAATATATCCTTTAAACTGCCGTGATCTTCTTGTGGCAGGGTAACCTTAAAGGCCTTTGCTTCCTACTTTGTCATTCATCAATAATTGACATACATAGTGACTCTCACTTGAACATCTTCATGAAGTATACCTCCGCCTTGCACATCCAGTTCCAGCCTTACCCAATCCAGATCTAAAGGCCCCAGGGCTGCTGGGCTGTCAATTAAAGAGGCCAGATTCTGGTTTATCCAATCAGAACTGACCTGTTGAGCAAAGGAACTTATCCAGGCTAAATTCCTTTCTTACCTAAGCCATCATTATCCAGATCACTCAAGTGTAGAACTCCACCAAAGCGAGAGAAACGACGGTCTCCACTGAAGGTGCTGAGCAGAGAGGGCTGTGTGTCCAGTGTTAGTGCATAAAGCCGAGTCGTTCCGCCTTGGTGCAGGGTCATTTTCAGGAATGCCATTTTAGACACATCATCTGAAACAAGCCACAGTGCCTGTTGGCATCACAAGTGTGACACAGGATGTAGACCAAACAGCATATTCTCCCCTCATTTACAGGCAGAAGTGTTGCTCACTACACAGGACAGGGTTCCAGGGCTGGTCCACTCTGGTGGGTTAAAGGTTTAAGTAGTTTGGGCAGCAAGACTCGAAACACAAGGAATTCAATTAATTCCCACCAGATAGCTTCCTTCTTCTGGTCTTACCCCTCTATGATTTCTGTTTTACATACAGACTGCCCATGTTCCTGTCCTGACTACAAGCTCAAATGTAGTTGGGCTTTGGATGACACCAAGGCTCGTCCCCAGTTCTAACACTAGTTCCTACCCCTGCCTGCTTTGCACACACAACGAACCTGAAACAGTCCTAGATCTAGGCCTCTAGCCATAACTGCCTGCATAGGAGAAACTCCTTCCCCATGCCCCTTGCTTTCTCTTGTTCACACCTCTGCCAGTTATTCCTGCTCATCCTTCAGAATTTGGCTGACCTTTCTTACCCTCCCTGTCTAGAAGAAATGCTGCTCTCCTTGTGCCAGCAAAAAGGGTTGGTAGCATGGTTCAAGCAGTAGAGCACCAGCCTAGCAAGCACAAGATACTAAAAGTTCAAAAAAAAGATAGAAATTTTTTCTTTTTCTTTTTTTTTGGTCCGGTCGTGGGGCCAGAACTCTGGGCCTGGGTGCTGTCCCTCAGCTCTTCAGCTCAAGGCTAGTGC